TCACTATCACTGTTTTATCCTGCTTAGAATACATTCACTTATTTCATTCATTATATGGTTCCACTTATTATGTAGATGTGTGTTGTTTCACTTGTCTTTCACTTGTTGATCCAACAGGATCATAGCACGATTTAGCGGTCTGTGTTTAGACCCCAATAGGATCCTATCACTTGGTAGCATTTACAGTGTGTCACTACATATTTAGCTTTTTCACTTGTTCAGATATATTTATGAAAATATGTGTATGTGAGTAGCGCTACATCAGTGGACTATTCAAGCACACGTCAGTTTTCTGGACACCACAGTATCCATCAGGGATAACAAGCTACACACCTCAATATAGAGGAAACCCATAATTAGATGCAACTATCTCCACATTCCCAGCTTCAGGTCATCATGCACAGCCAGGCCATCAGAAACCACTAAATATGCTCAGATCCAGAAGACAAAAATATACATCTCAGAGTACTAGCAGACTCCATCAATAAGAAAGGAGAAGATCTCAAATACAAAGAGAAAAAAAACAAAACAAATAACCATTTATAATCACATATAATCCAAGACTAGGGGTAAGAAAGATGATCAAAGATTTGCAACCCATCATAACAGAGGATTAAATGCTGTAAGAAACATTTCAATGACCCCCCCTCCCCATGCTGGCTTTCAGGCACCCTCCCAAACTCAGACAATTAAGTAATCAGCAGGAAACATAATTCTGATTATGAAGTCACACATAAAGGACCCAAGCCGTGCACAAAAAATGCTGCAAACTGTACAACCAAATCAATCCATCAAAAAGTGTCAAACACACAAAAGGGACCTTCAGTGTTATAGCATCATACAGCTGTACTTCCAGGAATGTTATGTACCTCATTCAATGCAAAAAATGCATCAAGGGATCTTATGTTGGTGAAAAGGCAATAATTACAAAAAATATTTATATTAAATGTATATAGACACACCATTAAGAAACATAAGTAAGATGATTTCTGCACACCTGTGCTATATTATTTCTCACAACCAGACCACACTATGGAAGACATATGACTATTTGGTACTTAAAGGGGACCTCCAAACTACTCAAGAAAAGAAAACATTTGAACTAAGAATGATAACTCTATTTGACACAAAAGATAACAGACTAAATGCTGACCCATAACTTTCTCCCTGCTTTATCCCACTAAAAAGAAAGTTCCTTCTCTAAGAGGTTATGTTTGACAATTGAGATTCAAAAGCAATCCCACAGTGAGATTTACCATGGCTTAATGGTTGCCACTTTTGAGGCAGTACCCTTTGCTCTATTCCTCTCAAAATCTCTGCAAGTAAACATTCTATCATTCTATCGGCAATGAAAAAAGTGGGTTCCTTCCCTGGATCTATCTATGCTTCTGTCCCATGTTTCTATCCCATATAATGGGATCCTGGTGGATTTACCACTTCAACTCTGACAGTGGGAAAATCCTTCCTTCCCTACAATTGAAGGGTTCTTACAACATCCGAAAGTCTGTTAGGCTGGGGAGGAGTCTTCTAATCTTTGAAGATTCAAGGAATATGGTTAAGGGAGGGGGCTAACTTTCCGATCAATGCAACATCTTGAACAGTAATCTCTTCAAACACATTCCCATGTTGTCACTCCTTTTAAAGCACTGCTCCTTCCACCCATGTGTGAATGTCTGTGCACTCACCTCAATAGCTGGTCCCTTATGTTAGGAGGTTATATAACACTTCTGTTATTATCTGTTAAAATTCCTGAGGCTTCTTAGTCCCTCTCATAGCAACTCAAGCCACGGAAACAAAAAATGACTCTTAGTGCTCACTGAAGCAATTTTATAAATAAAAACGCCACATAGATTTACTCACATTGTGTTCACTAACCTCCAGCTTGACATAACATATTTCTCCACATGCAATGCCTATGCAAATAGAATAAGCCCAAAGGAATACTCTGAGAACTTGTGTGTAGTGTATGTGGGACCGGCTCCCACTCCGCCCAGTATGACGACTTCTGCTTTACACATTTTGTGTCTTAGGAGACAAAAATCTCCAAGATGTAGTCTAGATTGGAAGCTGGGTTGCACCTTGTGCTCCCTGGGACCTTAAATTGGCTGCTTCTGCCATACAAAAAAACATAATTTGAACCCATCAGAGATATTCCTTACCTGATACCATCAAGGTAGTGTTTCTGGTGGCCATTATGTCTGTTAGACATACTGTACCCCAGAACTAGTGGCTCATTACTGAAAAGAACCCTTCCTCATACTTCACGACGACAAGGTCTTACTATGCACTAGACCATATTACCTTCAAAAAGGTGGTTTCTGCTTTCCATCTCAATGAGGACAATTGTTCTGCCATCCTTGTGCTCTGCTCTTAAGCATCCAAAGGAAGTCTCTCTGAATTGCCTGGATGTTGTCAGAGTAATTAAATTGTACCTAAAAGCTACTGCTTCCATTAGACAAACAGATTTGCTGTTTGTTCTCTCCTCAAGTCCTTGCAAGAGACACCCCACTTCAAAGTCCACCATTGCTAGGTGGATAAGGAATTTGTTTGCCAGAGCTTGTTCTCTAAAACAAACATCTATTCCTTTGCTGTTATATATACACTACGGAATTTGTTTGCCAGAGCTTGTTCTCTAAAACAAACATCTATTCCTTTGCTGTTATATATACACTACGGAATTTGTTTGCCAGAGCTTGTTCTCTAAAACAAACATCTATTCCTATGCTGTTATATATACACTCCACTAGATTTGTTGAAGTATCTTAAAGTTTTACCAGGTGCATGTTTAATCTTCTTCTTATGCAGCTTGCGGCTGCAAGATTATTGGAGAAGCATTCTGAACCTGGGGTTTTTACCTTTGATGTTTGTGGGCCTGTTAGCACAGTTCAGTTGCCTATTTTTTGCCCACCCTTGTAGTCCTATATTCATTGCTTTGGGACGTCCCATGGTGCATGAATAGGTTGCCTGTGTCCTGTACTGTACAATAAGAGGAATTTTGACTTACCTGTAAATTCGTTATCTTGGAGTACAGTACAAGACACCCTCTGTAAACGCTTCATGTTACTCTGCATTGCTTGCTAGAAACCTACCTTAGATTGTACACTTCTTGAGGGTTAGGGACTGATGTGAATGTACAATATACAGTATCTCACAGAAGTGAGTACACCCCTCACATTTTTGTAAATATTTTATTCTATCTTTTCATGTGACAACACTTTGCTACAATGTAAAGTAGTGAGTGTACAGCTTGTATAACAGTGTAAATTTGCTGTCCCCTCAAAATAACTCAACACACAGGCATTAATGTCTAAACCGCTGGCAACAAAAGTGAGTACACCCCTAAGTAAAAATGTCCAAATTGGGCCCAATTAGCCATTTTCCCTCCCCGGTGTCACGTGACTCGTTAGTGTTGCAAGGTCTCAGGTGTAAATAGGGAGCAGGTGTGTTAAATTTGGTGCTATCGCTCTCACTCTCTCATACCAGTTACTGGAAGTTCAACATGGTACCTCATGGCAAAGAACTCTCTGAGGAGCTGACAAAAACAATTGTTGCTCTACATAAAGATGGCCTAGGCTATAAGAAGATTGCCAAGACACTGAAACTGAGCTGCAGCATGGTGGCCAAGACCATACAGTGGTTTAACAGGACAGGTTCCACTCAGAATAGGCCTCTCCATGGTCGACCAAAGTAGTTGAGTGCACGTGCTCAGCGTCATATCCAGAGGTTGTCTTTGGGAAATAGACGTATGAGTGCTGTCAGTATTACTGCAGAGGTTGAATGGGGGGTCAGCCTGTCAGTGCTCAGACCATATGCTGCACACTGCATCAAATTGGTCTGCATGGCTGTCGTTCCAGAAGGAAGCCTCTTCTAAAGATGATGCACAAGAAAGCCCGCAAACAGTTTGCTGAAGACAAGCAGACTAAGGACATGGATTACTGGAAGCATGTCCTCTAGTTTGATGAGACAAGATGAATTTGGTTCAGATGGTGTCAAGCGTGTGTGGCGGCAACCAGGTGAGTACAAAGACAAGTGTGTCTTGCCTACAGTCAAGCATGGTGGTGGGAGTGTCATGGTCTGGGGCTGCATGAGTGCTGCCGCCACTGGGGAGATACAGTTCATTGAGGGAACCATGAATGCCAACATGTACTGTAACATACTGCAGCAGAGCATGATTCCCTCCCTTCAGAGACTGGGCCGCAGGGCAGTATTCCAACATGATAACGACCTCAAATACACCTCCAAGACAACCACTGCCTTGCTAAAGAAGCTAAGGATAAAGGTGATGGACTGGCCAAGCATGTCTCCAGACCTAAATCCTATTGAGCATCTGTGGGGCATTCTCAGACAGAAGGTGGAGGAGCGCAAGGTCTCTAACATCCACTAGCTCCGTGATGTCATCATAGAGGAGTGGAAGAGGACTCCAGTGGCAACCTGTGAAGCTCTGGTGAACTCCATGCCCAAGAGGGTTAAGGCAGTGCTGGAAAATAATGGTGGGCACACAAAATATTGACACTTTGGGCCCAATTTGGACATTTTCACTTAGGGGTGTACTCACTTTTGTTGCCAGCGGTTTAGACATTAATGCCTGTGTGTTGTTATTTTGAGGGTACAGTAAATTTACAATGTTATACAAGCTGTACACTCACTACTACATTGTAGAAAAGTGTCATTTCTTAAGTGTTGTCACATGAAATGATATAATAAAATATTTACAAAAATGTGAGGGGTGTACTCACTTCTGTGAGATACTGTATATGTAAAGCGGTGCGTAAATTGATGGCGCTATATAAGTACCTGTCATAAATAAACTTGAGGACTAATGGAGTGGCGTATGGTTATAGAGAAGGTGCCCCAGGAGATTGTGTCCTCAGAAGCTTGCCAATGTCCAATCACCTGAAGGTACGAAGCTATAGACCCATGGCGTATGAACAATACAAAATAATTTTGATTCCTTTATTTTTTACTGTGTTCTCATTATTTGTTTTCACCTTGTTTTCCTAGGCTTAAACTCTATTCTTTTTGCTATCAATATTGACAATGCGGACCTGAATGGATCAGCAAAGACGGCTCCTACAGTGTCTTATATTCTAAAAGAGTCCACTCAGAATGTCACCTCCTTGCTTAAGGAATCCACGCAAGGTGTCAGCAGTCTTCTTCGAGATATCACTTCATCCTCTGCTGTCTCTATACTGATCAAGCCAGAGCATGAATCTGACCCTCTTCCTGTGCTTTCAAAAAGGCTTACTACTGGTATGTAAAATTGTAAACAGAGATAAAGGGTTAACAATTTTGGCTAATAACTTCAGGCCAGCCACTTAGGTTAGTTTTCAGTATATGTTGCATGCTAGGAGAAGTTTTGAGTAGATAAAAAAAACAAACTTACATACTTTCCGCCATGCTTCAGCATTGGTCTGATGCTACAGCTGTCCTTTGGCCCGCTCCAAGTTTGAGAAGTGAGTAATCACATGGCTGTTGATCGCTCGGTTCCCTGTCAGACTTGACTGTCAGTCTCCAATCTCTGCTTTGCAGCTCCAGTAATCACTGGAGTGCCAGGCAGGAGAGGGTGTGAGAGCAGCTGGCTTTGGTTCTCAGCCATGTACTGAAAACCAGAGCCAGCTGCCAATCAGGATGCTGGACAGATCCTGATGATATGGTTCCAGATCCTGGAGGGACTCTGTGGCGTCAGGCAACAGCAGGTTTTAAAAAGACGCACATAGGTGGCGCAAACACCTAGCACATTATCCAAGGTTTATTTGAAAATATAAAAACAGAAAACATACTCACAAAATGGGGTGCATGTAAAAGCCTATAAAACCATTAGGATGGCCCAACGTAATGGCAGAGTGTCAGCCTGTTGATGCATTTCAGGGATGTTTCATCTTCCTTTATTTTGTAATAAAGATTTTTTTAATGAACAAAAGTTTGATCTGTTTTGACTCGCAGTGGTATACAGTATATAAAATCCAACCTTTCTATTGTATACCCAATTGAACCTCAGTTGCAAAAATTAGTATAACAGGAGTCTATTAGGAAATATTAAAATTTAGGTAAAGCTAAGCTTTTTTCCTTTTTTTGAATAGCAGACACACACAAGAATAAAATATTTAAACTTTTGTACGTTTTGAATGGATACTTAACAGGTCATAATTAGAGATGAGCGAATCGAACCTGGCGAAGTGGAATTCGTTTCAAATTTCAGGAAAAATTCGATTCGCATCGAATCCGAATTTTAGCAAACTTCGGGTGCACGAATCGAATTTTTCCAGATCAGCTGGCAAAAGTGTCACTGCAGAGAGCTCCGCTATTTCTGACAGTTCTGACAGTTCATTTACAGCGGTTGAAACATTGTATCTATTTGTTTCCATTTAGGATACAGATGTTTTTATTCGGAAATAAATAGATACAATGTTTCAACCGCTGTAAATGTAAGGAACTGTCAGAGAACTGTCAGAAATAGCGGAGCTCTCTGCAGATACACTTTTTGCTGTACTGGAATACTTCTTCTTTTCATTCTTCTTCTTCTTTTCATTCTTCTTCTTCTTCTTCTTCTTCTTCTTCTTTTCATTCTTCTTTTCATTCTTCTTCTTCTTCTTTTCATTCTTCTTCTTCTTCTTTTCATTCTTCTTTTCATTCTTCTTCTTCTTTTCATTCTTCTTCTCCTTTTCATTCTTCTTCTTCTTCTTCTTTTCATTCTTCTTTTCATTCTTCTTCTTCTTCTTTTCATTCTTCTTCTTTTTTTCATTCTTCTTCTTCTTTTCATTCTTCTTTTCATTCTTCTTCTTCTTTTCATTCTTCTTTTCATTCTTCTTCTTCTTTTCATTCTTCTTTTCATTCTTCTTCTTTTCATTCTTCTTCTTCTTCTTTTCATTCTTCTTCTTCTTCTTTTCATTCTTCTTCTTCTTCTTTTCATTCTTATTTTCATTCTTCTTTTCATTCTTCTTCTTCTTCTTTTCATTCTTCTTTTCATTTTTCTTCTTCTTTTCATTCTTCTTTTCATTTTTCTTCTTCTTTTCATTCTTCTTTTCATTCTTCTTCTTCTTTTCATTCTTCTTTTCATTCTTCTTCTTCTTCTTTTCATTCTTCTTCTTTTCATTCTTCTTCTTCTTCTTCTTTTCATTCTTCTTCTTCTTCTTTTCATTCTTCTTTTCATTCTTCTTCTTCTTCTTCTTCTTTTCATTCTTCTTCTTCTTCTTTTTCATTCTTCTTTTCATTCTTCTTCTTCTTTTCATTCTTCTTCTTCTTCTTCTTTTCATTCTTCTTCTTCTTTTCATTCTTCTTCTTCTTTTCATTCTTCTTTTCGTTCTTCTTCTTCTTCGTCGTGCCCCGTGACTGCCCAAATGAGTGAAGTGTGCGGTGATTCTAAGATTGACGGCACTCATCTGCATGTCATACTGACTGACAGTATTATTTCTCTTCCCCAGCAGACTCCAAGGGCATTTAAATTAAAGGTACAGTGTTCTGCACTAATATAAAGGCTCTCTGAAGCCTAGAAACCCTTTAAATAAGTTAAATTCGCGGCGATAAATTCGCATCGAATCGAATTTCTCCCGCAAATTCGGCGAATCAGCCGAATCGAATTTTTGAATAATTCGCTCATCTCTAGTCATAATGTGCAGGCTTGGCTTGCTACAAGTGGCCACTTGTGACTAATATAGTAAAAGAGAGTCTTGGAAAAACATGGTACTTAACTTTCAGCCCAGCTCATTGTTCTTGTGTTACAAGAAACTCTCACAGGTATAGCATATAGTACATGGCAAGTTTCTTTATAGCTGAACTCCAGGATAAGCAAATATTGTTTTAACTCATGATGTATGTGCAAACTTTGATGTGCTTTCTGTATTTTTTTGTTTTTCAGACCTATGCAGTGTGAAACTTTTTTTTGTGCAGTAGCATCCTGTAATAAGGACTAGTATCTGCCTCTCTCTCTCCTTGTGCAGGCTGACTGGTCTTGTATCCACCCCATCCTATAATTTTCTGCAGCTTGTAGTGTTTCGGCCTCCTCAGAAATGTTTGCTCTCATCACTGTGCTGTACATTCATCACTGTGCTGTACATTGACTATTGGCTATGTAGCTTACGATAGTCAATGTACAGCACAGTGATGATGTCACTAATACTTTTAGAAGGCAATATCTTGGTTTGCAAAGGCATTTGGTGCACTTAAAGTAGATTTATATTCTTTTTAGTTAGTGAGGAATATTTTCAAACAAGCATTTTTGTGCCTGGAGTTCAACTTTAAGGTCAGAGTTGGCCTGCTTCAGTTATTTGTGGTACTAATGGGACTCTGTGTTGGACAGTAATGGTCTGTATGTTAAAATATATGCAGCTCAAAAACATATTTTATATTTAAATTTTATGATGTAGGAAGCATTAAACTATTGTAAGGTTTTGTTTTTTTTTACTGCCTGTGTCCTGTTGGGGAGATTCTCTTTCTCTTACTGTCCTAGAGACCCAACAGGAAGTTAGAGGAAGTCTCTCCAAAGCAGGGGGAAATGTCTTGTTAGCTTTTCTGGTGACAACTGTCTATCTCTATTGGAAGACTTCCCCTCGGCTCATTTTATGACAAATTTTGGATTTCCCATCACTTCTTGTTAGGACAAATATGGAGGTTGGGTCTCCCCAGCAGAGACAGCAATACAAATTTGAAAGTGAGTTTAACACTTCCATATTATATCCAAAACAAACAAAACATATTGGGGCTTTACATCTTTACATGAATTTTAATATTTTTTTTAAAAGAGACCTGATATACTAATTTTGGCAACTAAGCTGAAAAATACTATTGGGTGTGCAATAGATCTTTCTCAAAAGCATTTACATAGATTAAAGTTAAGACAAATAACTAAAATAAGCATTTTGAAAGAATTCCACTCCAGTTTGTTTTTGTTTGTTAGTATTAATTAATTGTACATTTGTTGCATGTCCAAAAAAAATAAAAGAATTGTGAACTAATGCAAATGTAGTTCCAAAACTGTTATTCTAGTATCTTCACTGTTGTGTCAAACAAGCTGAGCTAAAACCAAAACATAAAATCTTTTTTTTTTACTTGATCCCTTTTTTTAATATCACTTTTACTTCCTGTAGATGGCAAAACTAAAAAGGAGCGCAAGAAAAAGAAAAAAGCGTCGACTATCATCTCATTTGATGAGGATGTGGAAGACCCAGATCTTGTGAATGTTGCAAAGAGTCTGATGAGTAGCATAGAGAGTTCAGAGGAGCAGATTGACAGGTCCTCAGAAGCTGTACCTCACTTTGAAGCACAGTTTCAATATGACTTGCGTGACCAGGAAAATGATGACTCTCCTTGTGTCAATGGGGATTTTGACTATCGAAAGCTAGACATGCAAAGCATAGATAATGAACAGCTGGATGACTATGACACATATGAGCCAGAAACTGTCAGCATGTCTGGAGCCAAGAGTGCTTCCTGTGAACAGTAAGTTTAACAGCACTACTTTGTCCTACTTTATCAGGAGTCAATGTCTGTAGCTTTGTGTCATATATCATGGAGCCGGAAGTATTATTTATTTATGACTTTTAATTTTACCTGATTATTACTAGGGATATGTAGCTCCACACAGTCTAGATTATTATGTATGTATCTACTTATTGTTATCTAGTTGTTAAATATGTATGAAAGAAGTGCTATGGCAAATGTCACTTACTAGATTTTTCTACTTTATCTGTAATGATAGTTGTATTTCTGTACCATTTCACACTGTGCCTTCTCCTCAGTGTCTCGTTGACTGTCTGCATACATGAAAGCTCCTACTACCTTTCTGGCACAGTTTTCCTGTTTAATAGAATAGAAAATGTCCTATACCCTGTTTCAAAGGTCAAACATAGACATATGCGTGGGGCAAGTGTTCATGTATAGGATCCAGGGGCACACCTGCCATGAGGCACTGTAAGAACCTTGAATCAGACAACATCCCATTGATGCACTGAGGGGACAACATGATGAAGATTATGCAGAGTTGGCAGCAGGTGTCCTGTTCTGGAACACTTACAGCATCAGGCATTGTTTCATTTGCCCCCCCCCATAGCGCCCTCCCCCCCATAGCGCCCTCCCCCCCCATAGTGCCCTCCCCCCCATAGTGCCCTCCATCCTCCCAAAGTTACTCCCAGACCCTACAATGCCTGTATTGCTTCCACTATACCCCCAACTTCCAACTCTTTTCCCCCACAGGGTACTGTGAAGCGCTCCCCAACCATTATGACTTCAGAACCCCCATCTTCCGAAGTGCCACTCAGCCTGTTGGAGGGTGAGTCCCCCAACTCCCTCTAGAACTGGTATTCAACCAGAGTGGCACACCGTCTGCTGCAGAGTGCCGTTGCCTGCACCTGAACCCCCATCCTCCAAAGTGCCACCCATCCTGCTGCTGAGAACTCCAGCCACCAAACGAGTCACCCAGCTCAATACAGAATTTCTACCGCACCTCCAAACTGCCCCTATTTTTGCTCCCACTGACACCAATGTTGGTGCTTTTCTTCCTCCTACTGACACCAAAGACTGGGCATTTTAATTTCTACAGACCACCAACACTAGGCATTTTTTATATAAAATATTGTTGCTTGCCTCAGGTGACAGAACAGCTTGGTTCATCCCTGATAAAATAATATTTATTTATTACAGGTACTTATATAGTGCCATCAATTTATGCAGCACTTTACATATATACTGTACATTCATATCAGTCCCTACCCCTCAAGGAGTTTACAATCTAAGGTCCTTAACTCACATTCATACATACACATACTAGGGCCAATTTAGACAGGAGCCAATTAACCTACCAGCATGTCTTTGGAGTATGGAAGGAAACTGGAGTACTTGGAGAAAACCCACGCAGGCACAGGGAGAACATGCAAACTCCAGGGAGGGAGTGCCGTGGTTGGGATTCAAACCAACAAACCTAGTACTGCTAGGCGGAAGTGCATTTAGCACATTATGAAGCTTCTTGTGGGCTTTTGAATCCTCCCTGCCTGTCACAACAGCTCCTAGTCTCAGAGTAACAATTGTTAGCTGGTAAGACCTGCTCTTGGCCACTTGATCACTGCGATAGGATCTTTTAGAAAAAAAATAAAGATAAAATAGATAAGGACCTGATTTAGGTTAGTGTTAGTGTGTTTTAGGTACAAAAAAAAAAGTGTCAGTGTGTTTAGGCAGGGGCAAAAAAAGCAGAATGTGTAGTATTGTTTCTTGATCTTATTATGGATAGATACAAGTAATGCACACATGTGGTATCCTCATGCACGTCAAATGGTGGATTATGGTACTGGTAAACATATACAGCTAAAGATTTAAAAGTATATCCTTTAATATTTTGGCCCAATTTTCCAATAATAATATGAAGGTGGTGTACATTAATATTTACTATCAAATGTAGGCCCAATTTGTCCTGAAAAAAAATACAAAGTATAATCCACTTGGGATACGTCAATGTTTTGTAAACTTTTGAGACTGGGCTCACATATGTGCAGGGCCGGCTTCAGTGCAATTTGTAAAATGAATCCAGTGTGCTTTTGTTCAGTGGTACCGGTGCAAATTTTTAAAGTGGAAGACACTTGAAACTGCACCTGAACCAGATTGAAAATCGTACCTGACTCTTTTTAAAATCGCACTGTGGCTTGCCAGCACATATGTGAACCAGCTCCTTAGAGAGCCGATTTAGCTCATATGTCATGAAAATCGGTTCAAACCGGATCCAGTTTGCATATACAGTATCTGAACAGGGGCTAAAGGTTGTTTTGCCTGAAAAAGGTTGAGTACTAAGGACTGCCTGTCCAATCCAACACTCCACCTCCCATTTGTGTCCACCCAACCCCACCCACACTCAAGCTCCCTGCTTGCAATGCAGTTACACTGTGCTGTGAGAGGAGTTCTGTGGGCAGCTGTGTGGCAGATTTAAAACAATAGAGGAAGACCAATCTGAGGGGGGAGGCATAAATGGTGAGTCAGCTTTCTGCACCCAGAACAGCCCCCCCTTTCCCCCACCCCTTTTTGCCCTGCCCCCTTTTTTACTTCTCCCCCCTCCTGTTTCTTTTGAATTCTCCCCCCTTGCTCCCCCACTCTCTTTACCCTTCTCTTTCCACCCCTCTTCTCTTTCTCTCTCTACCCCCCCTCCCTCTCTCCCCTCTCCTCCTCCCCACTGCAGCATTCCAGCCTGTCTGGTGTTGGCTGGTCTTAGAATTAGGGCATAGTGTCATACCTCATGACATCTACAGTCATGGGCAAAAATAATGTCACCCCTGCATTTCTGTCAGATAATACAACACTTCACACAGAAAAGTATTGCAATTACATATGTTTAGGCATTGTCATGTTTATATCTTTTGTTTGTATCAGTATATCACACAAAAAAAGTAAAAAAAAGCCAAATCTGACACATTCCACGCAAAACCCCAAAAATGGACTGAACAAAATTATTGGTATCCTCAATTTAATATTTGGTAGCACCCCCTTTGGAAAAAAAAATAACTGAAATCAGTCGCTTCCTGTAACCATCAATTTGTTACTTATACCTTTCTACTCGAATTTTGGACCACTGTTCTTTTGCCAACTGCTCCTGGTCTCTCAGATTGAAACGGTTCCTTTTTCCAACTGCTGTTTTGAGATCTCTCCACAGGTACTCTATAAGATTAAGATCTTGACTCATTGCCGGCCAGTTCAGTACTCTCCAGCGCTTTGTCTTGATGACCAGAGACTGCGTACACAATACAGGAGATGACCAGAGACTGCGGACACAGTACAGGGGATGACCAAAGGCTGCGGACACAGTGCAGGAGATGACCAGAGACTGCGGACACAGTGCAGGAGATGACCAGAGACTGCGGACACAGTGCAGGAGATGACCAGAGACTGCGGACACAGTGCAGGAGATGACCAGAGACTGTGGACACAGTGCAGGGAATGACCAGAGACTGCGGACACAGTGCAGGAGATGACCAGAGACTGCGGACACAGTGCAGGGAATGACCAGAGACTGTAGACAGTGCAGGGCATGACCAGAGACTGCAGACAGTGCAGGGCATGACCAGAGGCTGCAGACAGTGCAGGGAATGACCAGAGACTGCAGACAGTGCAGGGAATGACCAGAGACTGCAGACAGTGCAGGGGATGACCAGAGACTGTAGCCAGTGCAGGGGATGACCAGAGACTGTAGACAGTGCAGGGGATGACCAGAGACTGCAGACAGTGCAGGGGATGACCAGAGACTGCAGACAGTGCAGGGGATGACCAGAGAATGCAGACAGTACAGGGGATGACCAGAGACTGCAGACACAGTACAGGAGATGACCAGAGACTGCAGACACAGTACAGGAGATGACCAGAGACTGCAGACAGTGCAGGGGATGACCAGAGACTGCAGACAGTGCAGGGGATGACCAGAGACTGCGGACCTTTGGGGAAGGAGGGGGAGCGGGTACCTGAATTTGACAGGTACCCGCTCCCACTTCCGCGGAGTTGTCCTTCTCTCTTCTTCCCGGGCCGGCTTCTGTGACAGCCGGGTGCCCACTGCGCATGTGCAAGGAGCGCTGCGCTTTGTGAATGGCCCAGCGCTTTCTGGGACCTGTCATGTGTCCCAGAAGACACCGGATCATTCACAAAGCGCAGCACATGCGCAGTGGGCACCCGGCTGTCAGAAGCCAGCGCGGGAAGACTGTGCAGTGCTGGAGCGAGGAACAGGTAAGGCCCTGCAGGAGAGAACAGCTGAGCGGCCGGCCCGGTATTCTGACATGGTGGCGGCGGAAATACCGGACCGGCCGCTTTATATTCGCTCCATAAGACGCACTGACATTTTCCCCCCTTTTTTGGGGGGAAAAAAGTGCGTCTTATGGAGCGAAAAATACGGTATATATATATATATATATATATATATATATATATTTTAAACTTCTGATTTTATTGCTATCACATAGGGGACCAATAGTCCCCTATGTAATAGTATGTGAGTGACAGGTCCTCTTTGTAGGGGGGAGGGGGTGGGAAGAGGAGAAGAGCAGTGTATACAGTGAGGGAGCAGTGTATACAGAGAGGCTCCTTCACTGGCTTTCACTATATGTCAGTACCGATTTTTAAATGCTATTGCCGGCTTCTTTTTTTTTCTTCACTATAGCTCACAGAATTAGCTATCACTTTCACTTTTTGTTTCTTTTATCTCAGGAAACTTTGTTTCTTTTAACTTGGGGAAATAAACTAAAAGGAAACTTTGTTTCTTTTAGCTGGGGAGAAAGTGACAGCTGATTCTCTGCGCTATAGTAAAGAAAAAAAAATCTGGTAATTACATTTAAAAACCGGCGCTTGTTACTCGTGACCATTATAATAAAGTACTACACTATTAAGCACCTTTCTGGCTCCAGTGGCTGAGCTAATTCCTCCCCAGGACCATTTTGGCACCCACTCTGATGGATGGATGGAGTTGGATGACTAACCCATAGC